AGGGTGAGCCCTGCCGTGAACCCATGTTACCCTTACGCGAGCCAGGAGCTCTAGAAGCTGGCCTGGGTTACAGGGCTCCTGTGTCCTGGGACACTCTGGGGTACGAGAAACTGAATGTGCCAAGTCAGCAGATGCAGAGCCCCCACAGGCAGCAGCAGGCCACCAACTGTGGCCACCTGAGTGCCTGGTGTAGGCAGCAGGGAGGGCCACCCTGTGGAGCCAGGATGTGCAGCTGGCAGCAGGCCTGGGTGAGCAGGGGTGGCCTGGGGGTGAGCTCTGCCTGGACACCCCAGAGAAGGTGGCATGCAGAGCAGCGTGACAGGTGAGAAGACACCTTGGACAGGCAGGCCAGAGCAGTCTGTCACTGACCTGCGGGTGATGTGGGCCAGGCTCCCCTATCCCTCCTTCCTGCATATTTCGCAAGTGGTCCTGAGTGTTTCTTCTCAAGAACACGTACAAACGTGTGCGTTTCAGTGTGTACGTGCAGATGTGCATGTTTTGAGTGCGTGTACCTTGTAGGGGCACCTGCGGGCAGTGTCCTGTGGCGTGTGCCCCTGTATGTGAAGAGCTGGCATGGTGCTCTGAGATGACCTCGTGGCCTACATTGGAGATTAAGAAGCAGGCCTGTCCACACAGGTGCTTGTCCCTGCAGGCACTGTGCTGCTAACAGCCCAGGGCTAAGGTGCTTGGGTTGCCAGGCAACCCCTCCAGCTCCTACACAGCCTCCAGGGTCTCCCTCTGCCCAGGCCAGCACAGAGTAGCAGCTTTAGTCCCCAAAAATCCTGCCTGGATTTTCCTCCCTCCTACTCTCACCCATGTGCTGCCCTGGGCAGACTTGGTCTTGCACCCCTCAGCTCACATGGGCTAGGGTAGGGCAGGGCAAGGAACTTCCTTTTCCTTCCTCCTCGGTATGGGGGTGGGGCTGGCTTCCCTGTGAGGGTAAGGGCCCCTGGGATCTAGCTTTCAGAAGGGCAGGGTTGGCACTTGGGGATTTAGCTCTCAGAAGGGTGGGGCTGGGCACCCAGGGGATCTAGTTCTAAGAAGGGCGGGATTGGGTGTCCAGGGGATTTAGCTGTCAGAAGGGCAGGGTGCAGGCTTGTCAGAGATTAGCCCCCAGCCTTGAGTGCAGAGCAACTGCAGTCTTGCCCCAGGCTGACCACAAAGGAGGCTGCACCCCAGGCAGGTGGGTGCTGTCCCAGGGAGACAGGAGGGGCTGACCCCAGGGAAAGAAGGCCTGCTCAGGGCCAGGTTGGTGGGAGGGTGAATTGGAGCAGTCAAGTGCTGGGAGACCGTGGGGTCAGGGCTGGGATTCAGTCGATCCTAGGGGAGGGTCCCTGTCCTAGGGCAGTGCCAGCAGATCCATAAGGAAGGAAACTGGTGCAAGATTGTGCTGAGCTGTGGGGTAGGGCTCAGCTGATCCCACAGACCTCCCCTTTGGCATAGGCTGCTCAGTGCCTTCCTGCCACAGGTGTTGAGCCCTTAGCCATATCCAGCTTCCCCTCTTAGGGCTGCCCCACCTGCCAGCAGCCTGTGCTTCCCAAACTCTGGCATCAGAGACCAGGACTAGTGGGAGGTTCCCAGAACAGACTTGGATTGAGCAGACCTTAATGAGACCACACTTGTGGGGACAGGAACACTCCCACCTCAGACCCGGCCACCCAGCAGGCAGTACCACCTGTAGGAGCCAAAGCTAGGTTCCCACATGGGGTAAAGGTCTCAGGGTCCCAGAGGGGTGGCACTGGGTAGGGCAGCCCTGGGTGGGGCAGGGGTTTCAGGATGGGATCCTGGAGGCAGCCCTGAGTAGGATGGAACTGGAGTGGACAGTGTCATCTGGCTCAGGCTTAGCTGGGGGAGACACAAGGGTGGGGCTGGAGCCCTGTTGGCCTCCTTGCTCTTGTGGCCATCTTTGCTGGATTAGCACTCTTCTGTGCATGGTGCACATTGCACAGGAAGGCCCTCACCCCACTGCCTCCTGTGTGGTCCAGTGCTGGCATGGGTGAGGGCACAGCTGCCCACACCTGCACCTGCCCCTGCACAGGCATGTCGGGACCCAGGCCCGTGGTGCTGAGTGGGCCATCCGGGGCTGGGAAGAGCACCCTGCTGAAGAGGTTGCTCCAGGAGCACGGCAGCATCTTTGGCTTCAGTGTGTCCCGTGAGTACTTTGGGGACATGAAGATATGGGCTTCGGAGGTTAGGGGTGTTGTCCCCAGCATGGAGCCACTCTGGAGGCCCCAGAGGCACACACACAGCCTGGGGGTGCTCTGCTTATGCCCCTTTCCTGGGGTCTGAGTCTGCAGCAAGCCTCCTGGTCTCCATGGACCCCAGAGGGCAGGGCTGGGTTGCCAAGGCCTCCTGCCTATGCGGTGCAGGCCTCAGGTCTGGTGCACAGCCCTGCGGCGGGCCCCTGGGCAGAGCATACCTGCCAGAGAAGACTTGTGGAGCTGGTGGGCCCCAGCGTCTCTCAGTGGGTGGTGGGTCTTTTTTGTAGATACCACGAGGGACCCGCGGCCTGGTGAGGAGAACGGCAGAGGTGAGTTGGCTTGGGTAGTCCATGGGCCCTGGCTGCAGCTGGCATGGTGTTGGGAGGTCTCCTCATCCCCTGCCTCTTGGCTGCAGTGCACACAGTGGTCTCCCACCTGTGAGAGGGTCTCTGCCTTCAGGGGTGGTGGGTGTGATTAGGTCCTGTGCCTCTTGTCAGCCTGGGGGAAGCTACAGAAGTAGTGTCCTGGGCACCTGACCCAGGCTGAGCTTGGCCCCGCTGCTGTGTGGTGTGCTGGCAGTGTGCTCCTCTAGCATGTCCCAGACACTCCATGCCTGATGTGTGGCCCAGGGGTCCCCACCTCCTCTGTGGAACCTGGCAGTCTCCAGTCCCCACAGAGGGGACAGTGCAAGCAGTGGCACATGACACATGGACAGAGCAACCCGGACACAGGATGGAAGGAGGGCTGTCAGTACTCCGAGGAGATGGGGATGCTGGCCGGGCCGTGTGGTGGGCACCTCTAGACAGCCTTCCTCCTCTCCAGATTACTACTTTGTGACCAGGGAGGTGATGCAGCATGACATCGCCGCTGGGGACTTCATTGAACATGCTGAGTTCTCAGGGAACCTGTATGGGACAAGGTGGGCTGTGCATGGGGTAGGCCCAAAACCCCTGGGGCCGTGGGTCAGGGTCCCCAGGTCATGGCAGCAGTGGGCTCTCCAGTCTTCCCCTCCGATACTTTCCACTCAGTCTGCCTGCTGCAGCGTGCCCTTCCCCAGCTCCCATGGAGCCCTTGAGCCATCTAGTGGGTAAGGGAGCACATGAGGAGGCACAGAAACAGGCCTGTCCAGAAGCCTGGGGTCAGGCAGTGCCCACCAAGAGGAACCCCATGTGGCTGCAGGACAAGTGACTATGCTGGCAGGGGCCTGGTGGGGGTGTGCTTGGGGTGCTCTGGAAAGTGCAGGGGGTGCTGGGGACAGGTGAGGCCCTGCAGCTGCCCAGGGGAGGCTGGGAGGGGAGGGGCCAAGTCCCTCTGAAAGTCTTGGAGGCCTGGGGCCTGGCAGAGCAGAGCAGTGCCACTGAGCTTCTGGCTGCGCCCATCTCTGACCCTAGCAAGGCGGCCGTGCGGGCCGTGCAGGCCATGAACCGCATCTGCGTGCTGGACGTGGACCTGCAGGGCGTACGCAACATCAAGAAGACAGACCTTCGCCCCATCTACATCTCTGTGCAGCCTCCTTCACTGGATGTGCTGGTGGGTGCCCGGGGCAGGGCTGGGCTGGCACCCAGGAGGCTCTGACCCCACGTGGGCCTGCTTTCTAGGAGCAACGGCTGCGCCAGCGTAACACGGAGACAGAGGAGAGCCTGGCGAAGCGGCTGGCCGCCGCTCGGGCAGACATGGACAGCAGTGAGTGCAGCTGGGGTCCCCTAAAGGTTCACACCCCCGTCTCCACCCGGATCCTCTTCCCTCTGGTCTGTGCTCAGTTTGCTGCAGGTGGGGGTTGCTTGGCCCTTCTGCTGTCTCTGCAAGGGCGTGGGGCAGCCACATCACCAGCACTGCTAGCCCTGACCAGTGTCTCGAGACAATCGTGAATTTGAGCTTGGATTCAAGAGCTTGACAGGACTGAGCCCCTGCTGGGGTTCTGCAGAGAGGAGAGTGTGGCTTGGCACCTGGCCCTTGGGGTCTGTCCCTCCCATAGCCTGGACATGCTGGGGCTGCCTCGCAGAATAGCAGCAAGGGAACACAGCTAGGTGATGAGTTTGGTGCTGCCTGTCCCTGACCCCATCTCATCCCCAGGCAAGGAGCCAGGCCTGTTCGACCTGGTGATCATCAATGATAACCTGGATGAAGCCTACGCGGCACTGAAGCAGGCACTGTCTGAGGTGGGCCTCCCTCCTTGGTCCTGGGCAGCCCCTGCTCAGGCTGCGTCCTGTGTGGACTCTGGAGAGGCTTGGTGTACCCACACTGGCACAAGACCGGGTGTCAGCAGATGGGAGGCCCAGTCCTCCCCAATCCCAGCCTTCCCTGACCTACCTTTCTTCCTCCTGGGCAGGAAATCAAGAAAGCTCAGGGGACAAGCCATTCCTGAGGACCAGCTGTCCAACCCACAGGCGCTTCCCGTGCCCTGCATCTGTCTGGGCTGCTGAGGATCCACACAGCACCCAGGATGGCTTCCCAACTGGGGTGGGCACAATTGCTCCTTGCTGGCCACATGGCAGCTCTGCACCTCAGCTGGTGTTTGGCATGTGGGGTGGGATTGCTGCCCACCTCCCTCCCTCACTGTGGCTGGAGGTGCCCCCCATCTGCCTTCCCTGAGCTGTCTCTGTCCCTTCCCCTGTCCCTCCCGCTGGAGCGGGACTGACATCCTAATAAAGTGACTGTTGGGTTAGAGTGTTGCCACCCTGAGGTGGGGACTTGATCCTGAGTAAGGCCACAGCTACATTCCTCCACACGGGACCCCTGGTCCCCTCCACTCCTACCCAGCCAGCCCTAAGGACAGTGTCTGCTGCCACCTACTCCATTACCTGACCCAGTGTCCACCAGTCATGGAAATGTCAGCCAGGGCTGTTCCTGAGCATGTCCCCTTGGGGAGCTCAGGCCCAGCTCTGGGAGTCCACTGCTGCCTGTTCTCCCAGTTGCTCCTGGGTCAGCTAGGGGCATCAGAGAGACAATCCAGGTAGGGAACAGGGAGCTGAGGCTGTGGGATCAGGGTCCTAGGGGCTGGTGTAGGAGCAGATGCCCAGAGCCTCCATAGAGGTTCCAGATCCCTGAGGTCTGGAGGCCAGGATGATTTGGGGGCTCCCAAGGGAGATGCCTCCTCAGAGGTAGCTGTCCATCTTGTCCTGGGCCCCAGTGGTGTGCCTCAGGAACCCTGGCTGTGCTGGGCCTCTTCTTGTGTGGTTGGCCCAGGAAAATAGCCCCAGCAGAGGGGCACCACATTTGCAGGGGGTCAGCCCCAGCCCTGCCTATGAATGTCCAGGTGAAGCCACTCAGGGCAAGACCCAGACGTGGGTGGATGAGGATTTGGAAGAGGGAAGCAGGCAGGAAGCCCAGGCGGAAATAGCTAGGGAGACCAGGCATCTTGGGCCCTGTCCAGAAGGCCAGATGTGTTTCAAGGAAGGCAGGCCAGAGCCAGGCCTGGACCTTAGGTGCAGTGTCGGGGACTGCTGTGGGCCTAGGCAGGCCTTTCCAGCTCCCAGCTACCCTGCCCCCAGGGACAATCAGGGATTCAGATCCTGAGGCCTGCAGGGAGAACAATGGAGCCCTTGAAGGCCCCCCCCTTCACCCCCCATTGTGCTTGGTGGCGAGAGGTGGCCCTGGCCCAGCCACACACCCTTGGGAAGGACCAGCATCGTCCGGCAGGTGGAAGGGCTCACTGAGACTTGTATTTCCCAGCCTGGAGAAGGTAGGGCTCTGCCTGGGAACCCCACCCACCTCCCCAGACTCATCCAGAGCAGGAACTAGCGGTGAACCCCTCAGCCAGCTGAGGTAGGGTGACTTCACCCCTGCTGCACCCCACTCCTGGCTTAGCCTCAGGACCTGTGGGGAGGTAGGGGGGTTACAGAAGGACTCATCCTGGGGAGCATGCAACTGCTTGGATTGTGCACTGAGGGGCCCCTCTGGGTGTCTGTTCATCTTTGCCCAGCTGTGAGCAGGGGCCACTTAGGGGCTTCTGGGCAATGGGTGGGGGAGATGGGGCCTCAGGCTGCACAGGGCCTGCCTGGTGAGCAAGGCGTGCATTTGGCATCTCCCCCAGCAGCTGGGGCCCCTTGGCTGCAGCTGATGAGCCCCCAGCCAGTTGCAGTGTGTTCAGAGGCTGGGCCTGGGCACTATTTGGCTTGACTGAGAAAGCCAGAGGCAGGGGGTCCCACCCAGAGGGCCTGCCCCACTGCCAGGAGGCACTCAGCCTCTAATCACTCAGGACCCCAGGCAGGCTGGCTGTCCTTTGAGCAAGCCCCTCTCACCTGCTGGGCCCAGGGCCTCAGCGGGGAGCAGAACAGACATATGGCCAAGGAGCAGGTCATGCAAGGATAGCAAACCTTGTGCTGAGTAGGGTGGGTGGGGTTCTGGAGGTGGCTGGAGCAGGCCTGTTAAGAAGGCGTTAGGGCAAGGATGGGTGGTTGATGTTAGGGTCCCAAGGAGGAGTACTAAGGCCTGGGGGAAGAAGGACTTGTCCAGAACAGCCCTGCTGACCGTTGCGCTAGGGCCACCAAAGCTTCTGCACAGGAGGTCCTCATGAGCCCAGGCATCTGCTGTGGGAGGGCATGAGGGATGTGGGTCCAGGGACAAGGTGCAGGGGGTGCATGTGGACCCCTGTGAGAGTGGGCAGCACAGCACCCTCCCTGGGTCATGGCAGAGATGGTTAGAAGTGATCACTGCCAAGGTGCAACTTCTCTGTCCTGCCACCCTGTGAAATGGGGTCCTTCCTGCAGTAGTTGTGGGAGGTCTCCCTGGTGACTCTGGAGGAGGCTGTCACCCCCATCCCTCTGTCTTCCCCACCCACACTCAGGCTAGCAGCCCCACTTCTGGAGGACCGGCCACTCAGTTCCAGGTTGTACTGCAGCAGCAGCTATCTCAATGGCAGGGCAGTGATTTTCCCTCATCCCACCTGGTCTCCATCTCTGAGGAAGGGGTGGCCCCTCCCCTCCTGGGTCCTGGTCCACGGGGCTCTGTGCCTCCCTGAGCACCCAGGGGGGGGCTCGACTGCAGGTGGGGAATGGCGGCAGGTGGGGCCCCTCGGGTACAGGCTGCAAGCTGTCCCACTCAGGAGAGCAGGTGGGGGAAGCACACATGATCACTACAGGGTACCCAGGGTGAGGGGTCCCCAGCCTGGAGTGCCAGGTCCCAGGCCAGTAGGCCCACAAGATGGCAGCAGTTACCTCAGCCCACGCCTGCATCTCCAGGCAGCTGGGGTCTGGCTGAATTTCTAGGCCACCTCCCAAGAAGCTCAAGTGTCCACTGACATGCTGGATTGCCCCCCAGGCCTGGGGGGCTTCCCCAGGGAGGTGCTGGCTGGTGTGGAATTGAGAGCCCGTGGTTGCACGAGTGTTCAAGTGGGTGTGAACCTAAACACGGGCTGCACACCCCTCGGCACACCTGTGTGGTCGAGAGGGGAGGCTGGAGACGTGGGAAGCAGGCTGGGACGAGGAGGCAGGAGAGAAAGGCCAAAGGTGGCCTGCCCGTGCACACAGGGGCAGCAGGCTCACTGCCATGGGCTGCCAAGGTCACCATGGCCTGAGGGTTGGGTCCTGGTGGTTAAGGGTGCGCATCCCCTCTGGGCCAGCACGCCAGGAGATGCATGGTCGAAGCTCAGGTGGGTGTGCCAGGGCCCAGCCTGTAGGGTGGGCGCCGAGGCTGCTGTGGGTGAGTGTTACAGCCACCTCTGAGGACCCTGGGAGGGGACAATCAGGACTGGGGCCTCAGGCATGAGGGGTGCTGATGTGTGGACAAGGGACAGTCCCCCACCCAGCCCCTGCTTGGAGAGCTGAGCACTTGAGGCTGCCCCTCCAGCAGCCACCAGAGCAGGGGAAGCCCGGTCCTAGCCACCCCACTCTGAGAGGGATGGACGCATGAGGATGCCTGAGGGTGTTTCCCAGGACCTAGCTCAGAGCCAGTGATCAGGACTCGGCGGGGGGGGGGGGGGGGAGCCCATCCTACTGCTGGTAGGTCTGGGGCTACTGGTCTCCCACTGTGCCAGGACTGGGCGTGCTGACCAGGCCCTGACATTGGAGATTGCTGACAGGCAGCCTTTCCTACTTGCCCTGGAAGAGACCCCCGCAGAGGCAGCCCCCACTGCCTGTACCCCCTCCACCAGCTCCATGCCTCCCCTATCACTGGGAGCCTCCCACCTGATGGCCTCAGAGTGCCCAGGGCTAGGGAACACCCAGGGCTGCTGGGCACAGGCAAGCCCTGTAGTGAGCCCCGGCCCCCACACTCCTGTGAGCCCTGATTTGCGCTCCCAACCCCACTGTTAGACCCTTGTCATCTCTGTGAGCCTTCTGTGAGTCCCTGCTCCTGCCCTGAACCCACATCCTTCCTCCAAACTCCAGAGCCTGCACCTCCTGCTCTTCCCTGGCCTCTGACTGACTGCTACAGGGCCAGCTGGGGTCACTCCTCCCTCGCACCACCATGCTCTTCACTGCCTGCCTTGGGCCTGACACCAGGGAGCCCCTTGGAGGAGCCAGGCCCTCCAGTGGACCCCCTCCCAGATCCCACTGTAGGCCTAGTGTTGGGGGAGGGTTCCCCTGCTCCAAGGCCCTGCACTGGCTGGCCCCTCTGTGGTGCGTCCTTTACTTTAAACACATGCGGACTCCCAGGAAAGCTGGGAAGTTCATGCAAGTTCCGTGAAGGTCACGAAGTTCCCCTGCCCTGGGATGCTGGACAAATTCGCCCAGGCATTCTGTAGTACGGCCCGTGGGGAGGACTCCAGCTCTCTGCTTTGCGGGGCTGTGAGTTTGGGGAGGAAGAGCCCATCTCACAAATGGTACCCATACAGTGCTCGGCCATGGCACTGGCCTGGGTCATGGCAGAGACAGCAGTGATCACTGCGACGGTGGGACTCCTCTGTCCTGCCACCCTGGGAGGCAGGGTCCTTCCTGCCGCAGTGGTGGGAGGTGGGTCTGGTGGCAGGTGCATCTCCTGGCAAGATCTGTCTGCTCTCCTCATCTTGGCTCCACCCATCACTGAAGCCCTCAGGGGTCTAAGCCCAGTCTAAGTCCAAGCAGCCTTAGCCACCAGGAGCGCTTTCAGCTGACTTGGTTTCCCTCCGACAGGCCCCGCTGTGTGTCTTGCTCCTGTGCACCCGCCTCGTGTTTAGGCTCCTCCTCTCCAAAGCCACCCTGTGTCCCTGCCCTGGCTCTGGCATCAGCGCTTCTTTCCTTTCAGGGGCTTGGAGTTAGAGACAACAGCCTGGGGCCAGGCGCGTCCCCAGATCCTCAGGCGTTTTTGCATCCTGGCCCTTTCAGGTGACAGCAAAGACAAGTGTGTGCACAAACCCATGGTTTTCTGCATTTTGTCTGTGAACTTCCTCTGTGAAGCTGTCCACCTCTCTGGCAGGCTGGATAGGAGCTCCATGGGTCTGGCTGCCATCATTATCCACAGAGCATTCACCCGCTACGCAGACAGATGACGCGTGGAGAGGGGATGGGGAAGGGCAGGTGCATGTGTGTGCAAGTGCACAGGCATGTTGGTGTGTAGGAGCACCTGTGTGTGCAGTACTATGCACTGTGCCTCTGTGAGCGGTGAGGCAGCTGTGGCCTGGCAGCAGTTGGCTCTGGCCAGCAGAAGGGACAGCAGGACTCAGGCCAGAGGTAGGGGGCAGTTTGCCTGGCGCAGGGGCCTGGTGAGACCCTCATGTTTACCCTATCAGGAGTCACCTGGTAACTCTCGTGGGTCCAGCTGCCTCCCCAACTGCCCAGACACTGACAGGCACCCTCAATTCCAGACCCAGATGCCAGTCTCCCCTCCAAAATGGCCTCCCTGTCCGTGGTCCTTATCCTCCATGGCTTTCTCCTCACATCCCCACCAGGTCCATAAGCAAACTCTGCCTGGCCAGACTCCCCTCTGTATGGCCAGGCCATGGCGTCACTGCCTGGTGGGGTCTCAGCTGCTTCATCTCTCCCTCCTGTGGCCTGGAATTCCCACCCAACAGGCCACCCCTGCTGCCCTTCAGTGACTCCTGGTAGGGTAAATATGAGGGTCTCACCAGGCCCCAGAGCCCCTCTGAGCACATAGATGTGGCTGTCTCTGTCACTGCCCAAGGTGGCTGTGCATCATTGTGTTTTCAGCTTCACCAGACATTGTCCCACCTGGATAGATGCTGGCTTCCTTGGTTCCCCTAGCTGGGAACAGTCTAGAGGGAAGGAGCTAGGGCTGCACGGGGAGCCCCAGTGGTCCTGTGCTGGGAGAGGCAGCTGGCAGGCTAGGTGCAGCAGAACCAGCAGGGGCTTGGAGAGGATGGGGTCCTTTATCGAGGCAGAGGATCTCTAGAGCTGCTGTGCAGGGTATGGAGGGAGAAGGGCAGGGCTGCTGGGACTCAGGGCTGTGGGGGTTGATGGGGCTACTAGGGCTGGGGGCTGCAGAGGCTGGGAAGTTGGAGAAGTAGTGGGGGCTTGGGGGACTGGGTCCTGGAAGAGACCCTCAGATACTGGGGCATAACTCTGTGGGAGCAGGAGGGAGTGGGGCAAGGTGGTGCAGCAGGATCTGACCACAGAGCTCCCCTGAGAAGTTCTGGGGAGAGAGGGATGGGCAGGTGCTCAGCAAGAGATGTGGCTCTGCCAAGGAAGGTTCTCCCTAAGTCCCACGGACAGGGTCTTAGGCCTGGGTGGGGATGCCTTTCCCATCCAGGGAAGGCAAGATGGTGAGCTTGGGTCACCAGCTATACGTAAGCTGAGCGACTGCAAGGCCCCTCGACTGAACCCTGAGTGCCAGGTTTCCAGATGCCCCCATCTGGCTGTCATTGACTGCTGCCCACGCCCACAGGTCCTGCCCGCCCGCGCCCATGACCAACATGAGCTGGAGCTTCCTGACGCGGCTGCTGGAGGAGATCCACAACCACTCCACCTTCGTGGGCAAGGTGTGGCTCACCGTGCTGGTAGTCTTCCGCATCGTGTTGACTGCTGTGGGCGGCGAGTCTATCTATTCCGATGAGCAGTCTAAGTTTACTTGCAACACGCGGCAGCCGGGCTGTGACAACGTCTGCTACGACGCCTTCGCACCCCTGTCGCATGTGCGCTTCTGGGTCTTTCAGATCGTGGTCATCTCAACGCCCTCCGTCATGTACCTGGGCTACGCAGTCCACCGCCTGGCCCGTGCCTCAGAGCAGGAGCGGAGGCGCGCGCTCCGCCGCCGCCCAGGTCCCCGGCGCTCTCTCAGGGCGCACCTGCCACCGCCTGGATGGCCGGAGCCCACTGACCTGGGCGAGGCAGAACCCATGCTTGGGCTGGAGGAGGAAGAAGAGGAAGAGCCAGGACTGCCCGAGGGGCCGGGAGAGGACACGGAGGAGGAGCGCGCAGATGAGGTGGCAACCAAGGGGGCTGGGGTAGACGGCAAGGCGGCTGGGGGCCCGGGTCCAGCCGGGCAACACGATGGACGGCGACGCATCCAGCGCGAGGGACTGATGCGCGTGTACGTGGCCCAACTGGTGGTCAGGGCTGCCTTTGAGGTAGCTTTCTTGGTGGGCCAGTACCTACTGTATGGCTTCGAGGTGCGGCCCTTCTTCGCCTGCAGCCGCCAGCCCTGCCCACACGTGGTGGATTGCTTCGTGTCGCGGCCCACTGAGAAGACTGTCTTCCTGCTGGTCATGTACGTGGTCAGCTGCCTGTGTTTGTTGCTCAACCTCTGCGAGATGGCTCACCTGGGCCTGGGTAGCGCGCAGGACGCCGTACGTGGCCGCCGGGGTCCACCAGCGCAGGTGCCTGGTCCCGGGCCGCGCCCACCACCTTGTGCCTTCCCGGCCCCAGCCACCAGCCTGGCCTGCCCGCCCGACTACAGCCTGGTGGTGCGTGCTGCTGAGCGTGCACGCGCGCATGACCAGAATTTGGCTAATCTGGCCTTGCAGGCGCTGCGTGACGGGGCGGCAGCAGGCGGAGACCGGGATAGCCCGCCCTGCCCTGGGCTCTCCGCGGCCAACCGGGGGCCACCCAGAGCCAGCGCACCGGCTTCTGGAACCGGCAGCGCCACGTCTGGGGGCACCGCCGGAGAGCAGGGCCGGCCTGGGGCCCATGAGCGGCCAGGCGCCAAACCCAGGGCTGGCTCCGAGAAGGGCAGTAGCGGCAGCAGGGACGGAAAGGCCACTGTGTGGATCTGAGGATACTGGCGGGGATTGCTGATGTGGGGGGCTCTGGAGGAAGGTTGATCTCAATTCTGTTAAGACAGCGGCACCCAAGGCAGCTCTGGCTGCTTCTCCTGCCTGGGGAGGGACGTTGTAGGGAGGAGAAGGGGCTGAAGGCCAACAGGAGGCAGGGTCTGGGCACCTCTGAGGCTGAAAGACGGGGAGGAGGAAGCCTGTGTGCCCCCAAGGGTGGGCAAAGCAGGGGCCCCAGAATGACTGGCCGTGCCCCTGCTGAGCTGTTGGGTCCTCAGAGATGACCACTGCCTGCCTCCCATTCCTTCCCTCTGAGCTCCCTTGCAGCAACCCACTGACCACCTGAGTCCCTGGAACAGACATTTTGGGGACTGCAGTTTCCACTCGCTGCCACAATATGTGGTTCCTTTGCCACACCTTCAGCCTGGAGCCCTGGTTCCAGCAATCCCAGGACAGGCAGAGGGTCCTGGGCTCAGCCCCAACCTGCACCAGTTCCTGGTTCTCCTGGGGTGACACTCTGCAGAGGACCTTTGATGGACAGGACCACCCCTTCTCTGAGCCTCTATGGCAAAAAGTATCAGCTAAGGTTTGCTGCCTAGACTGACAAAGCAGTGGTTGGGGACCTGTGGCTGGGTTATGCTAGAGGAAGGGGTCTTGGGAAGCCTGCCCATGACCTCTCTGCCTGCCTTCCTAATTCAGAGCCAGCTTTGGAACTAAGGGAGCAAAATAAAACTAACTTTTGTTTACAACAGGGTGTGTGCACTTGTGTACATCTGAGCACGAGTGAGTTTGTGTTAATATGCACACTGGTAACTGCATGCACTGTGGCTATGTATGTGACTGCATACATGTAAGCAGGCACTTGTGTGCCCAAGTGTCCACTACCAGCCACAGGGGGCACCTAGCTCAGCACCAGCCTGGCTGGGAGACCTCTCCCCAGGGACAAGCAGGGAGCAAGGCCTGAGATGGAGCTCCTGAAGGTCATTATCAGACACAAGATGGTGCCACTGGGTGCCAGGGAGTGTGCTGGGGCCAGGAAGTGGAGGCCACACTTGTTAGGAAACAAAGGACAGTCATGCACAAGGTTGTTCTGCCACTCATGGACAGGGCAGTCCATCTCAGGCGCTGGAGATGTTGGAATGCTGGCCAGAGTTTGCCACTCCCAGTAGGGGGCCATCTTGGTGCAGACCCCAGGTGACATAGCTGCCTCCCCACCTTCCTGGGCTGAAAACCCCTCTCTGGAGTCCCTGGTTCAAACCCTGGCTGAGTCCCAAGTCTAATGGCAGGCTGACTCTGGCCAGGCGCCAAGTGCATGCTAAGTCCCTTTCCTTTCTTGGGCCTAGTTGATTGAGCCCCAGCTGACCTTCACCTCCAGGAGCCCTGACTTTAGGCTCAGCACCAGATGAACCCTGGCTCTAGGGGACCTGTGTCCCCAGGTGAATCCTCATTCCAAACTAAGCACTGCCCCACGAAGTCATGGATGGTGATTCTGGATGTGGTCTCTAAGAGGGTAGGAAAACACCATCCAGAGCAGGTGTCTCCTTCAGCGGGGCTACCTGCCAGCATCTCCTAATGAAAGTTCCACATTAGAGGCCATCCAGATCTGGAGCTGTGCTGCTGGAGGAGCTGCTGCTAGCGAAGGAAGGTCTCTGTGCTGGAACTATGGTGCCAAGCCTGGGATTGGGCATGGCTCTCACCCTCTCTCAACTTAACCAGTGCTGTTCAAGTCTTCACCTGATTGGATGAGGCCCACCATTGGCTTTCCTCTACCCAAAGGCTAATCTTGTGGGGAAACACTTCTCCAGACACTCACAATAATGGTTTTTGAAATTTTGTTTTTAATTGACGTATAATAATTGCACGTTATGGGTTAGATGTCTACAATGTATAAAACGTCTTTGTGTGCTGAGCCTTTGAATCCTGCTCTCTGGTTCTTTATGATATATATAATAACTGTCATCAACTACAGAGTGATGTTTGGCCAGGCACTTGGGCACCCTGTGGCCCAGCCGAGGGCGTGTGAGGGAACTGTCACACAGCCCAAGCAGATGACGTCTCCAGATCTCGGGCTGGTTTTGCTCCTCTGGAGATCTCCAGCCCGTACACACCCCTTTGCTGGAGCCAGTTCAGAGGGACCCAGGTGACAGGGAAGCTGCAAAGGGAGCTTCAGCCTGCTGGGCTGCCACCACCTGCTTCTCTTCCATCCCCAGGTCCCAGGCACAGTGCAGGCAGGGCAGGCTTCCCCAGCCTCCGCCTGGGCTTGCCTCCACCTCCCTCCCCACCCTTTCCTCTCCACCATCTCGCAGTAGCCCTGGGTCCTGTAGGATGAGGACCCACCCCAGTGACCTCACCATACCTTAACACCCTCCTAGGAGGCCCACCTCAAACACAGCCTCGTTCTAAGGTCCCAGGGCTAGGACTTCAGACGCTGCCCAAGTACAATGGCGTATGTCCAGCTGGAAGCCACATGGCATGGAGGTGGACAAAGGGGCCCCAAGGGATAACTTCTCCTCCCAGAGACCTGGGGGCTTAGGGGCCACTGAGCCCATCAGTTTGGTGAGCATTTCATGGGGATCACTAGGTCTTGTTGCCCCATCTTCCCATCCGGAGCACCCCCACTGTCCTTGGCTCCTGTGGATCTGCAGGTCCCACCTCCAAGGCCATGTCCTCCACACCTGGGAAGAGCGGTGACCTCCAGCCTGAGCCTGAGCCCTAGTAGGAGGGCTGCCTCAAACGGTGCAAGAGGAAGCCCAGAGATTACTGGCCTCCTCATTCTGGGGAAGAAACCCACCCACATAGACCTGCTGCCTGACAGTCACTAGGTGCCACGCCTGTGGTACACCTGTCATCCTAGCCCCTCTGGAGGCAGAGATAGGAGGATGGCAAGTTCAAGGCCAGCTGGGACAGACCCTGTCTCAAAAGTAAAATAAGGCTGTGGGGGATAGCTTGGTGGCAGAACATCTGTCCAGCATGCATGAGGTCCAGGTTTGATTCCCCAGTACCACAAGGCAAGACACTGAGCTACTGAAGACAAAACTCCCCATGCCTCAGTTTCCCTGACTGCATGGGATGACCACAAGGGCACCAGGCCAAGCCTGGACACTGCCCAGGGGTTGTTGGGACACGGGCCAGGCCCTGGAGCAGGATCAGGTTGGAATGCGCAGAGGGCAGGGCTGGACAGGGCCAGGTTCAGAGGCAGAATGGGGCAGCTCCTTCCTCCTTCCCCTGGGTGGGAGGAAGCCAAGAAAGAGGAAAACGGGAAACCATAGCTACCTGGGGAAATTGGGCTGGGACACAGGTCGGCCATTTCCCAGCTCTTACACCCCTACTGAAGCCAGCCCCACAGGATGAGTCCCTGTCTCCTGGAGCCTCCCTCCCACACACACCTGGCCACCCAAAGGCGAAGTCCATCTTATTTTCTCTGATTGCCTGTATCTCAACAGCCCAGTGGGTCTTGGCTGGCAGTCAGGGTGGGCCTGGAGGGCGCTGCAGGCCAGACCAGCTCTGAGAGGCCAGATAAGCTGCCTGTGTGCCCTTCCTGCTAGCCCTGCATGGGTGGGAAGCCAGAGATGGGCTGACGTGAGGGCTGCGGAATGTGACCGCAGCCCTGGGTGCTGCCCCCTGCCAGTGCTGTCCTGCCTGGCTTCCGTTCTCCTCACTGAGGCTGGCAGGGAGGTGCCAGGTCACCCTCCAGCCCAGGGAAGAGGAGGGGGCGGTGGGCAGGCAGTGCATTCTAGCCTGGCTGCTGTCAATCAGGAAGCCTGTGGCCCAAGGGCCCCCAGGGTGGGGGAACTTTTGGGGTTTCTGCCTGGGCCTCTGCCAGTCCAGGTTCTGCCTCAACAGTGGTCAGGCCCAAATGGGAGGGATCCACAGCCCCATAGGATTTGGGCTAGACAGAGGGGCCTCGAAGGCAAAGTCCAGAGACTGAGGCCTGATCACAGCCAGAGTCACAAGCTCAAGTGTCTTCTGTAGAGATGCCTTGGCAGGTAACTTGCTAATTCCTCCAGTATTAACTGAGTGCCAGTATGTGCCAGGGCTGCCTGGAACCTGGGGTACAGCAGCGAGTTCCGGTAAAGATGCTCTGTTTGGCCAAACTGCAGTCAGAACCTCATAAAACTTAGCTTTAGCTGGACATGGTGGCACATACCTGTAAAGAATAGGCATTCACGGCACACAGCCGTAATCCCAGCTACTTGGGAGTCTGAGGCAGGAGAATCTCAAGTTCAAGGTTAGCCTGGGCAACTTAATGAGATTCTGTCTCAAAATAAAAAGGGCTATGGATGTAGCTCAGTGGTAGAATGCTCTTGGGTTTCAGTTCCCAGTCCTGGGGGGAAAACTCCACTTTTAGCTAGAAGCCCCACCCTCACCATCTGATGGTTTCTCATCCCCAGGGATGTTTAGTCACTGGCCTGCCCACAGCAGAATCCTGCCACTGGGTCCAGTCGGAGCCCTCACCTGCATCTTCTCCTGATTGTTTTTCCAGCTACCAACCAACCCACCTCCGTGGAGCTCCAGCTCTCCTCTGCCTTCACCACGGCCCCTCCATACAGGCTCCCTTGCTGTCATCTGAACAGGTACTGCGAGTAGCTGCACAAAACATCCCTCCTGCCTGGAGCTCAGGACCATAAACACAAAACCTTCAAAGGAGCTCTGACATGCTGGGCCAGAGTGGACAGCTGTGGAAAAAGGAGATGGCATGCAGGTCCCAGGGCAATCTGATGCACAGGTGCCCTGCACTGAGCCACAACTGGCCCCCTTACCCTTCCCCAAGAAGTGCCCTGGGGTGGCTGTGGCTCCTCAGCAGGTGATTCCTGCCATGACGTCCCAAGTTCAGCCATGGGTGGTCCTGGGGAGGGCCCATGAGGCGAGAGACATGACCATCACAGCCAAACCATGTGTGACACTGGCTAGAAGGAGACCAGTGGGGGCATGATGGTAGCTGAGAGGCAGGTGGTGTCTGTCATGCCACAATGTCGCTGCTCAGAGGCTAGAGGTATAGGCACTTGTCGTTGTCCTTGGGAGACACATGGAGATGGTGAGTCCTATGCCTTCAGCCAACATCCCCAGGGCCCAGCAAACAAAAGAGCAAAATGTGAGAGACTGTGGAGAAGGAAGAGGCAGTAAGAAGTGGGCCATCAGGAACAGAGGGGACAGCCACATGACTGTTCCTTTTGTCACTCCTTTGGTGTCCGTGAGCTGGGAGTGTATCAACACAGGATACTGAACATTCTCACCTCTCCACACCTAGGTTGAAATCCTCTCCCAGGCCATGGTGTCAGGAGGTAGGACCTCTGGGACATGATGAGGTCATGAGGGGAGCCTCCTGATGGGTTGAGTCCTTATAAAAGGACCCCAGGAGGTCCCTGCCCCTCCAGGCAGCAGCCCTCACTGTAACCTGCCCTGCCTAGACCTTGGACTTCTAGCCTGCAGGAAGTTACTCTTGAGCTGTAGCAGCTGAATAGGCATTCAGGCCACCGCAGTCCTTGACCTCAGTGTGACTTCGAAATGAGGCCCTAAAGGACATGGTTAGGTTAAATGTGGTCACTGCCGGGACCTTAATCCTACAGGATTGGTGTCCTCATAAGAAAAGATTAGGACACACATACATAGAGTAATGACCATTCGAGGACACGGAGAAGACAGACGGCCTCACCAGAAACTAGACCTGTGGCACATCTGGAGATTTGGCCTCAAGAACGTCCAGACAAAAAACTACTGTTTGACAGACCCCACACCCTGGCTGCAGCACTTTATAATGGTAGCCAAAACAGACGAGGGCTCTCTAGGAAACAGGTTGGCAGTTTCTCAAAAAACTTAGCATCATCATATGGCCCAATAATCCCACCTCTGGGAACATACCCCCAAGAATCCAAAGTGGGTTCTCAAAGAGATAGCTGTCTGTCCACCCATGTTCACAGGGGCCAGAAGCTGAAAGCAAGCTAAGGGCCCACTGAAGGATAAACAGGTGAACCAAGTGCGATCTACTCATATAGCTGAATACGACTCATCTTCCAAAAGAAGAACATTCTGCCAGCTGTGGTGGACACCCATAGATACTGGGTGGGACGCTAGAGCCCAGAGGTGCAAGATGGGCCTGAGCAACAGAGTAAGCCCTGTGTGTGGGGGGATGAACCCGGAGCCCACTGTGCCACGTAGAACTAGGCAGACACGAAGGGCAGCCACAGCATGACTGCACCCCAGGAAGCCCCTGGAGCCCTCCCACTCCAACGGAGGAACACGGGGGAACCGAGCTTCCGTCTGGAAAGAAGTGCTGGGGATGGGCGTGACTACAGAGCAGCGGAACATGCTGAACTGAACGCCCACACCGTTACCAGGACAAGCATTGTTACCACAATTAAAAAAGTGGTTAAGAAGGCCAATTTTAGGCGTTATGTTCTGACCCACAATGAAACGAACCTCCCCACACGGAGACGGGGAGCCAGCCTGGCAATACTCGGGGGCGATGCCAGAGCGCTGACGGACAGGCGCAGGCCCCGCCCCACACGCCCCGCCGGCACCGCAGTTCTTCCCACCCACGCAGCCCCGCCCCTCGCGCACGCCCCGCCCTTATCTCGGCCGGCGGGGCCACACCCCTGTCCCCACCCTGACACACCCCTCCCGCGCACACGCCTGTCCCTTTCTACCGGCGGCTGCCGCCAGAGGCCGCTGTAGCGCCTGCCCTCCCGCCGCCTCACTAGTGCCCAAGATGGCGGTCGCGACGCTTCTCCGGGGCGCGGCTCCGGGACGCGGCGGCCCAGCTTGGCGCTGGAGGCTGCACGCGGTCCCGAGGCGCCGACTGGCTCATAGCTCTGGCCGTTTTGGCAGGGACCATACGGATAGGGCGGCTTGGGCGTGTTTCCTGTTAGA